ACATTTGTAATTTTCTTAATCTGTGACCCGTTGACCCGACGGGTCGGGTCGGGTCAACTGTTTAAAAGTTCGAGTCGTGTCGGGTTGAACCACTGACCCGACCCGACTCGTTCGGAGCTCTAAGGGTAACATTGCATTAATTAAAAAAATTTTTTACAAAAAAATGGATCTATACAATTAAAAAGAATTGTAATGCAACTATTATTGTTATTATTTGATATCAATAAAACAACAAATAAACAAAGATAATAAATAAATAGCTTTTATTGCTTTCCCCAAGTGAAATAATTAATTTTATTACAAATATTGTGTTTTTCTACCCATAATCCCAAGATTTAAAGTCATGTGACTGTCAAAAGTTGAAATTTTTAATGGCTGTGATTTTTTATTTTATAATAATAGTCAAACCAATCAAAATTAGCTTTTATGTGATAATTTGGTAAAAATTTGGCTAATAGTGTCCGCTATTGGAAGAATTGAAATTATGGTCAATCTTTTATCACGTGATAGCGGCAAAGGAAAAAAACAGAGAACTATATTATGAATAAAATTTTCCTTTTTTTCTAATATAATTGGTATATTAATTGTTACATCTTAATTATCTATATGTATATATTATCTGAATAAAATTTCGCACTTGAAAATCTTCACAATAAAATTTTTTTCAAAAAACTGTCGTTGTGGCGCAGAAAGTTAAAGGGACTATATAGGTGTCTTGCACTATACAAATTTAAGTTTTTTACAAAATTCTAAATTTTTTTTTAAAAAAGTACCATGAATTAGCATTGACAATGTTTCTAATATTCACCCAGGAATTCCTGAAAGGTTTTGTTCTGTTATAATCAATGGAAAAATTTATTTTGCTGAAATTATTGCCATGTATAAAAAAGTTTCAACAATTCATGGCTTTGTGAGTGATCCAGTGGAAAATATAGATACACTTTCCTATATCTCAACATGAATTTGGCTTCACTTATGTATGATGCAATTTATTTTGTTCATTTAATGACCAAGGTTATCAGATTTTTCCACATATGAGGGCTTTTTAATGGAAGGACCATGTTGTGAAAATGATGCTTTGAGAAAATAAAAAAAGATTTGCATTTAAGAAGTTTACTATTGGTTTTGAAATTTTAAAGAAAAGTATCTCAATATTTTACTATGCAGAGTGGGTATGGTTTCTAAGCCAAAAGTGTTTTATGCGAAGAGTCACATATAACAATGGTATTAACTCAAAATTGCTTTTTTCACAACATGGTCCATTTCTATTGAAAGCCCCAAGTAATTCATTTACTATGTATGCTACAGGAGATCTGATATTAATTATCAAAGTAGTTCTCAATTAATTGCACTGCATTCTGAAATTTGTGTATGTATGTATTTTTAAGTGAAGAAAACACCATTAAAACTTTACTTCAATATATTGATTAAATAAGAATGCTTTTTATTTGGTTATAAAAGTAAATAAAATTTGATTAACTGGCATGTAAGAAAATGGGTAAATTGTTAATTTTAAATATACTACAGTGTAAAAATGGGATAAAATTTAAAATCTTAACTGGGTAGATTTAATATGGGGCATGCTGCAACAAAACCAGACAAAGTGAATGTTATATAGTGAGGATGGAGGCTTTGCAGTTGGTGAATGTATCATTTTGCATGAATGATCCTTAAGCTCTTTCCAATAGTTTATGATTCTTATCTATTTAGGATTTGTTTTAAGTTAGCTAGGAGCAATAATGCTTTATAATCAAGAAAGCTATGAAAAAATCTTTACCTTAAATTTTAATATGTTTTCCATAATTTTTGATATTCTGAGGATACATTCATCAGATGATGGTAATATTAGCCCATCAAAATCACAAACAACATTCAGACTATCTATTTCACTCATGGATAAAAAAAAGATTTTTTTTCCTGGTAAAATAATAAAGTCAATTTATTTATAACTCTTTGATGATGAAAAAATAACCACAGAAACTCGCTGTACTCACCATGCACCAAAATACCAAAAGATTGTAGCATTAGTGGACTTCCATTGTATATTAAATACTCTTTTTGATTTCATATTGATAATGACATTGCTATAACAATCAATGAAGAAGTACAATTGGTAACCATTTTATTTGGATAAAAATGGCAGGAAAATAACAGGCACATCTTTTAATAATTTTTCATAATCAGTATTCTTGTCAGATACATCTTCATTGAATGCATTTCCAGTAACTTCAATGAATCCGATTGAAAAGTTTTGCCCATGAAGTAATACATAAATGATACCGTCATGTTTATATCCAATTTTTGAGCATTCATTATTCTCTTTATCTTCATTTCATTGCAGTTTCTTTATTTTATTTTCAAGTTCTCCTCTAAATCAAACATTAGTAAAAATTCAGATTCACTTAATTTAAGATGATACATATTATTTAATAAATTACTGTGAACATGCAATCCGAGTTTCCTAATTAATAGGTGATTTATAGCTTAACACACAACCTACCTGCCAAAAATTAATAAAAATAACTTTTATCCTCCTGGATAAAAGGGTCCCTAGGTTCTATATATATAATTATATCCCAAAGGCGTCCCCTTGAGATGTGCCTTAATAATTAAAATATTGATTGCTTGCTATGTGTAGCAAATGTTTCCCCTTGTAGGTTATTAATTAATTAGAGATTAAGTTTTTTGGGTAAAATATGTTGTGTTTTATTAGCGATAATATTATTATTACAAATGTGTTAGGAAGTATTAATTATTAGATCAATAATTAAAAGATTGTTATATGAACATGATTATTCTGACTTGGTCTAAAACCAAGTCTTTTTATACCACTTGGGTATTACAAATAACATGAATTTTACTCTATTTTGTCCAATAAAATATGCTTATTAATGTAAAATAAATATTTGGGTCAACTGAACATTACAAAATAATAATTAATAATTCAAAGTAAATATCTGCATCAGCTGAATAAGTTCTTGAAATATAAATATAGAAATATGAATATGAATAATTGTATGTGTGATACTGCGCACTATGTGGCGCAGTAGTTTCACAAAATATAATATTAAAAATAAAAATAGAAATGGGGTCTGGGTCATTTTACTGACACCCATTTACCAACAGGACACTTTACTGACAATCTAAGTAAAGTTAAACTTGATGTAGAAATGGTCTTGCAAGGAACACCATTGTAATTGTGAAATATGGATTCAAACAGTATTAAATGACCATAACATTAGATCAACTATAAAGTTTCTTCAGGACATTGCCCATAATACTTCATTTTAAAATTTTTTTTTGTTATTTTTTTAAAAAATTTTTTTTTATGTATAAAAATAATAATAATTAATGTGTCACAATAAAAGTTTTTTGTAAATGATTGATAAATAAATTTAATAAAAAAATAACATGAATATGCAATTTTTATCAATTTTGTCAGACAAAAAAAAAATATATTCCACATGTATCTATATTGTATTTTTATGAACTTGTTTTTGATGCAAAGTAAGGATAATAAGTGGTTCTATTAGTTAATTAATGGTTGATTTAACTTGTTGTAAAAAACCAAATTTTTAGCTAGTTATCCAGGTCTTCTCACACAGTCCTTGGCAAATTGTTAACACAATACTTGTCAGTAAAGTGCCCTGTTGGTAAAATGTCCTGTCAGCAAAGTATCCCGTTGGTAAAGTGTCCTGTTGGTAAAGTGTCTTGTCGGTAAAGTGGGTGTCAGTAAAGTGCCTGGGTCTGATAGAAATGATGTCGTTGTCACGTGACTTACGCAGTAATTTGGTTTGGTTGGATCGTAAACGTGAGACCTCTCTATCGGTCCTTATTTTACTATCTCACATTACATTTCTATCCATGCAAAATGTTCAATATCATAGAGAATGCCTTTGCAATTAATGGGTTTATGATTTCATCTGAATAACAGAATTCTGCAACACTAGAATCAAACAAGGAACTTCTTGTCTGGATGAACTGTTGAATGCTGATAAGGAAATGTCAATTATGGAATATAATAAGAGAATATATAATTACTAGCATGAACTTACAAGATCTTGTAAATGTCTTGACACCAAAGCAGTTCATAATTTTGAAATGGTTTTTCACATATGATAGATAATAGTTCCTCATGATTGATGACACTGCTTCTTTCATCATAATTTTTTGATACATATACATTGTATTTAACTAATAGGTTTTTTATATTATCTTTCATTTTCCAGATATTTTCAATATTGCTTTTAGTGTCATCATCAATCTAATTGTTTTAAAAATAATCTTAATAATTTTAATGTGGTAATATTTGTAGCTCATATTTAATACTGACATCTCTATTAAGGTTTCTGGCCGAAACTGCTTCTATTAGTAGCCGAAATTGCCCAAATACTTTGGGCAAAAATTATTTTTTTATAAGCCCAAACTACTTTTTGTTATTAGCCAAAATTGGGCGAAATTATTTTAAAGTTGTTTAAGTTAAAACAAGTTGATTCATATAGTTTTTTAATGTTCATGCTTATAAAAAATGTTGAGAAGCCCAAATTGCCCAAACTAGTTTGGGCTTTGAGAAAACAGTTTGAACCAGAAACCTTAATCTCTATTTATCAATTAATATTTTCATCTGATTTGGATGGTTATTTAATAACTCTTTAGTGTAAGGGAACCTCAATCAAAGAGTAAAATGACATTATAAGATACAAGTGAGTGTGTTGGATTTAAAAATGAGATTCCTGGTAATCGGTTCTTATTCCAAAAAAAAATATTATATTCTAATTATCAAAAGTTCTTCATAAATAATGTTCAAATTCATTAACAAGATTCTACAAAAACCACTATTACCTTGATTGGCTTTAGACTGTCAACAACATGGTTTTTCAATTTTCTATGGTCATTTTGAAATAAATAACTAGAATCAAATCAAAGATTTCAACCATTATTTTCTTTAACTAGAATGATGTCAAGTGGTGACAGCCACCACCACCATTCATAAAACACTTACTCAATTTGTGCTTTGACACGCACCTCTTCCCTACTTTGTTTCTTTATGTTTTTTGATCTGTTTAACATGATCAATTAAAAAAATTTGATAAAAATAATTGTTTTGATCAACACATTAATTATTTATCCTATTGGTTTGTTGACGTGATTGATTTTTTTTTGGGACAAATGTGAATTGATTTTTTTTTTGGAAAAACAATTTATTTTTTGACACAGTCCAAGGTTCTGAAGTCATGTTAATAACTAACCGGAAATACTTTTTTTTATTTGTATTGATTTTTTTATTTTCTTCTTACTGTCATTAAGTTTAATAAGTTTAATCTTTTGACAAATATTGTTAGCTTTTTACATTTAAAGTAAAAAAGTACTAAAATAATTATATACTTAACATACCCTAAGGATATAAAGTATATTAAAAGAATAAATAAAAAAAATGAACAATCAAGAAATCATGACAAACATCCTAAAAGAACAACAACAAGCAAATAAAGAACTAATCAACGAAATTGAAACATTGAAAAAGCAATTATCCAATAAAGAACAAGAAATTACTGAACCAAAAAATCTAGAAGTAAGTGAACAAGAATAAGCTGAATTTAAGCAAGAAGCAATTGACCAAATTCACCAAATATTGGTAGATATGAAAAATAGATTTTCTCATTGTAGTAAGAATATTGAACAAGATTTAAGGAAATTGATTAGCAAACCATTAAGAAATCAGTTTATGAATATTTGTTTTCAACATAGCCTTATGTATGACTATAAATGAAAAGGCAAAGAAAACTTAGAAAAAATTGTTGAGAGAATTATTATAGATTATTTTGAAGACACTGAGTTAGCCACTGAATTGAAAAAAGATTGGAAACTATGAAATCAAAGAGCTCATATTTTTTCTCAAATAAAAGAAGGAGGTAATATTTGAGGCAAGCCTGCTAAGGATATAATTCTTAAAGATATTATAGGAAGCAAGATTGAACAAATTAAAGATTTAGAAGCAGAGGTAGAAGAGCTAGAAGAAAGAGTAAAAATAGAACAGGAAC